CAAAAATTGCACCAGTGGGGCAAATATTGTCCCTTAATACATTTATTTCTGCTGTATTATTAAAAAAAATGACAGTATTTTACGTTTCTATTCCAGACGTTACCATGTATAGCCCCTCGGCTGGTTGCCGTTAGTAAGACTAAACCACCGGAGATGGTGGTGGAGGCTTACAAACATGGACAACGAAACTTTGGAGAGAATTATGTGAGTAAATAATTAAGTATGCATGCACGACTGCATTTGCCAATTTGTTCATATGAAATATCCCCTTTTCTGCAGGTAAATGAACTTGTTGAGAAAGCTTCCCATCCCCAGGTATGTAGTCAGGCAAATCTGAATGTATTTGTTTAGTTGTTTTTGATCATACAGTATGTCTTGATCGATCTAAAACTTCTTTTGTAGGTTGTCTTGTCATGTCCTGAAATAAAATGGCATTTTATCGGTCATCTGCAAAAGAATAATGTCAACAAACTCTTGGGTGAGCAAAGCAACTCTACTAAAGTCAACTTTAATTTGCATTTAGCTTGACCTAAAAATATGAGTATCATTTACAGCCTAGATTTACACTTAATTCGTAGTGATTGCATCAGACATTTATGGGTTATTTGTTTTTCAATCACAGGAGTCCCAAACCTGTATATGGTAGAGACGATCGACTCTGTGAAGCTGGCTGAAAAAGTCAACAGCTCGTGGCAAAAAATGAGATCTGCCAATACACACAGGTTAAAGATTATGATTCAGATCAACACCAGCGGAGAGGAAAGTGAGTGTTCTGCGCCCAAATAATTGTTTGTTTCCTATTAACATCAGCTCTGAAAATGTTAAAAACTCTCTTATAGAAATATGCATGCAGTATTTAGCTTATATATAATGATTTAATCAAGAATTTTGGGCGATCTCAGATCTCATACATTTTAATCTTTATTTATTTAAATATCGCTCAACCAACTTTCTTATTCATTATTAAAATAGACTAGCAAATGTGTTTATATGTCATGAAGTCACGTCTTGAGATGCTTTGTATTTTATTAGATGCTCTTTGTTTGTCAAATTTAGAGATTCACAGTTGGGAGCATCATAGTGGGATCCAGATTTGTTATGGGATGTTGTCAAAAAAGCCGACATCAAAAGTTCAGATGTTGTTTGATAATTCGCTTTGGGACAGGATGATAGTTGCAGTGTCACAGTGGGCGCATGTCTTACAAAAACACACAATTATCATGCAATATTTTCTCAGTGTATCAGATAACTGTTTTTCTGAAACCTCAGCGTGATGGTCTCTCTTGGCCGTGTTTTATCAGGTAAACATGGCCTGCCACCTGATGAGACTGTAAACATGGTAAAACATGCCGTATCTCAGTGTTCTGCTCTTGACTTCGCCGGGCTCATGACGATCGGCCGGTACGGTTACGACCTCAGTGAAGGCCCCAACCCCGACTTCCAGGTGCGTCAGCACTCTTAAAAACAAGGTTACATGAAGAACCTTTACCATCTAAAGAACCTTTGCTTTGCACAAGTTTCCTAAAAATGGTTATTTTATGGCATAACTGCAAAAAACACTTTTTGTAAACTTTATTTTTAAGAGTGTACCATTCAAAAGTCTCTTCTGCTCACCAAGGCTGCATTCATTTGATCAACAATACAGTAAAAACAGTAATATTGTGAAATATTAATATATTTTCAAATCTGTTTTAATGCAACTTATTTCTGTGACAGCAAAGCGGAATTTTCAGCATTATTCCCCCAGGTTCAGTGGCACATTTTGTTTTAGAAATCATTTTAATATCCTGATTTGGTGCTCAAGACATATATATTTTTCATCAATGTTCAAAATATTAATCCTTTGATGAATAGAAAGCTGAATAAAAAGTACCACATATATTTGAAATGGATATTTTCATTAAATCAACTTACGAAACACAATTTAGCCGCATACAGAGTATGCGAAATGTAAATGAATGTGTATGTTGAATGTAGATGCTGTTGAAACATCGTGCTGACGTTTGTGAGAGTCTGAAGATCCCAGTAGAGCAGATTGAACTCAGTATGGGCATGTCTAATGACTTTGAACATGCGGTAGGTGTTGCTTTCTTTCAAAACGCTCTTCAGTTGTATGTGCTCTCAGTGTTGAAGTGCCCTCATTATGCTTGTTAGGATATAGTAATGTAGCTGTTAGTGAATGTGAAAGGTCTGCAGAGTTTCAAAAGAACCGAGTTTAACTGCCTGAAATGCATCATCAGTAATTCTAGTCTTAATTCCAGAGCTGAAATTCCGATATGATGATAGTTTCATTTCTGACACGCTCTGCAAGCATTGGACCAATCACAACAGACTGGCCCATCTGACCAATTAGAGAAGAGTAGGCTCTTGGAAAGGAGGGGTTTAGAGCAGATGTCTTCAACCTTGCTCCTGGGGACCCACTGTCCGGTCACTGTTACCTAAACCAGAGCTTGGAAAATCTCAAGATGAAGCTGGTTGGATATAATCTTAGCAGGGCAGTGGGTCTCCAGGAGCAGGGTTGAAAACCTCTGGTTTAAAGGAGTAGTTCACTTTAAAAAAAAACTTTTGATGATAATTTACTCACCGCCATGTCATCCAAGATGTTCATGTCTTTCTTTCTTCAGTCGAAAAGAAATGAAGGTTTTTGATGAAAACATTCCAGGATTTTTCTCTATATAATGGACTTCAATGGGTGCCAAACAGTTCAAGGTCCAAAAGACAGTTTCAGTGCAGTTCAACGAACGAAATGACTCGAAAAATGATTCATTCATTTTGATGAACAAGTTCAAACAGGAGAGTCACGAGCGTACATCACAGAACAGAGCAAGGCGAGCATTTGTGCTAATAAAACTTAAACTTTTTTATTTTATTTTTTAAATGAGCGATCATTTCGCTTGATAAGACCCTTATTCATAGTCTGGAATCGTTTAAAGCCCTTTGAACAGTTTGCAGTGAAACTGTCTTTTGGACCTTGAACTGTTTGGTTCCCATTGAAGTCCATTATATGGAGAAAAATCCTGGAATGTTTTCATCAAAAACCTTAATTTCTTTTCAACTGAAGAAAGAATGACATGGACATCTTGGATGATATGGGGGTGAGTAAATTATCAGCAAAAGTTTTTTTTTTAAAGTGAACTACTCCTTTAAAGACAGATCTTTAATGTATATATTAATATTAATGCAATGTATATTATGAGAAAGTGTTTTTTTAATTAACGTTAATGGATGTAAACTTACTGTAGGAGACTCCCAAAACAAAATATAGCATAATGGGGCACATAACTTTATTGTAATTGTTTTTGATCTATTTAATATCCATTTGAAATGTTTCTCCATTTAGATCGAGGTCGGCTCCACCAACATACGCGTCGGCAGCACTATTTTCGGCACTAGAGAATACCCCAACACCCCGAGCCCCAGTCCAGAGAAAAAGCCAAAGGTCGTATGTGAGGAAGCAGCCAAGAAAATGGACCGGCTCACAGTCACGGACCATTGAATGATGCGGGGAGAAGGTTACTGAACTAAACGTGGGACCTCTTGGGCTTTTTCCCCAATGACTGGGCTCACCATTCACCAGTCAAGGGCCTTTAATATGTCTTAACTAATGCTGCTGACCTGGTCTTCTGTGGCAAAAAGAGGTGCAATTTAATAACTGGAATACTAAATTTACTTCCTCAAGGTGTTTTTATTATCTAAAGATCTCTAGAAGTGTCCTCCACCCCTTTGTCAAATTCTTAGCGTTGGTTTTGCGATTATTTTTAGCAGATACAGGGTCAGCACATGCTCAGTTTTGTTGTGCCAATTGTAGTTGTGAAGTATTATTTCGGACATTTCAGTCAGATTAGACACTATCAGTTCAGTTGTAAGTCATTTTAACATTCAATTAAAACAGTAGGATATTTTTTTGTTCCTCAAAGTGTGTAGGTATATTTTATAGTGTGTCAATTTGTTTTGTTCGAAATCATAAATGTAAATATGAATAGCACATTTATGGTATTGCTTCTGTATTCACTTGTTGCTGTGAAAGCTGTCAGTGAGATGTATCGGGACTGCCGTGTGCGTGCGTAGTGTTATGTTATTCATGTAGTAATTCATGTCACCCTAAACACTGGTGTTGGATTTAGCACTGATCAACAGCCAGATTGGTTTCAGTACAGAACATAGGAATGTGAAATGAGATCGACGTAGAGACGGGCTGTTTTATGGAGATAAAGATGCTGAGGGTCTGTGGCAATTTACTATGCAAGAGAGAGATTGTTCTGATTCTTAGATTCGTGTATAGAGGATAATCGCATAATTTTTAATTTTGAAATTTTGGATTAATCCATCATGTCAAACTAATGGGTTTACTGTTTGTGGTCAGTTGTGAAAAGCCAAAACGGAAATTATAGCATCCTTTTTTTCTGATAAGTGTGGCAAATAACATCTTGTATCTTGTCAGTTGATAGTTGAATTGTAGATATTTCATTGATTTAGGTGAGTTGAGCAATAAAATAAGAGAAAATTAAATGGTTTGTATGGCATATAAAGATAACTTTAGTTTTTTTTTGGTTCTTGTATCTAAGTCACTCACCAAGGCTGCATTTATTTGATCAAAAATACAGTAAAAAATAATATTATTACACTTTATAACCATTTACTCGTGTCATGATCCTTCCGAAATCGAGAGTCTTATGCTGATTTGCTGCTCAAGAAATATTTCTTATTCTTATCAATGTTGAAAACGGTGGTGCTGCTTAATGCTTTTATACAAACCGTGATAAATCGTCGTAATCCTTTGGTATAAAGAAAATTAAAATGAACAGCACTTATTTTAAAAAAAACGGAAATCTTTTGTAACGTTACAAATGCATTTAGTCATGTTTGATCAAATTAATGCATCCTTGCTGAATAAAAGTATTTAGTTTATACATTTTAAATGTATATTTATATATAAAAAAATATTATCCTATCATAAGTGAAATGCAGTATGCCACTCATTCATGAAGACCGAACATATGTCAATTTAAAACCTTTAATTCGAAAAACATTTTAAACCCAACTAAAATACAAACAAAGACAATGTTTATGAATGCATGTAAACAATGTTTTTTTTAACCGACTACCAAGCAACAGTCAAGTATGTGCATGCACACTGTGTGCACAGATATATCATTTATTACAAAGCTTGAATGACACTTGCGTTAAATAACCTTCAATTTTTCACATTACATGGAGGATTTTGCCATTGTGTGTCATGCAAACCAGCGTTTTTATAAATTGGTACTTGTAAGAAGCCAGTACAAAAATGTCCAAATACCCTATAAACAACATATAGTCTTAAAATCGAATAAGAACCCAGAAAACCAAAAGTTTTCATTAAATTACAGACATTCCTGCTCATTGTAGCTACATTAATTATATGTATCAATATATTGGTCAATGCGCTAAATAAATAAACCAAGAAACGGACGACTTAGAACAACAACAACAACAAAAATCACATTTTGTCTCTAAGAGAAAGAAAATCCCTAAAATATGGATTTAATGTTTGGTCTAAACTGCTACTATGCAAGATACAATCAATTTGTTTGAATCATTTCCCCTCAAGATCAAGAACAAAACCAGTTTGAGGATGTTTAGAGCAGATAGAGCATGAAAATAAAGCCACAAATTTACCAAAATCTTCAATACACCTCAATATATACATATTAAAAAATGTTTAGAAACGCTTAAATGATTAGCTGGCTTGATACTTCGCATTTATCAGTAATGCAGCCTTACAGTCAACAGTAGTTTCCATGCACCCATAATGATCATCACTTTAACATTTTCATATCACACTCACTCTTTAGTAATTTGAACACCATTCTAGACATTTATGATTAATGAATGATAAATGGGTATCAGGTATAGAGCAGAATTAAGGGTTGTTAATATTCTGCATGTTTAAGACTTAATTCAAAGCTCTGCTGAAAACAATGTTGAACTGAAGAAAGCATTGAAACCCAATGGCAATAAATGGGTTAGTGTTTTTGAAATGCTCTCTGCTTTTCACACCAGCTTTTTGGCCTCGAAGAAGCTCTTGAGATGTCTCATTTGCCAGATGCCAGTGATGATGAGGATGATGGTCTGAGCGATAGACCACCAGAGAACGCGCTGGTTTGTGCTCTCGCTTGTCATACGGAAACGCTCCTCACGATACTATGGAAACACAACTTCTTGTAAGTGCGATACAAACCTATGGATACTGTATGATTTAACATTGATAACTAGATAAGTGTTATTTTGGTATAATTGAGATATTATTATAGTCATATTATACCCTTTTACAAAGTCTTTGATTTTGTTTTTGGGGTCTACTATAAGGTTTTCATGCTTGAATGTTCAAAAAACACAATTTTCACATATTTCACATCTCTTCTCAGCCTTTCTGTAGCGCTCTTTTTAGTTCCGGCCTCTCTGTGAAGCCCCTCCTTCTGAAAAGTGTGCTCTGATTGGTCGGCCGGACCAGTTGTGCGTGTTTCAGAAATGTTACACCCCTTACCATAACTGTCAGATTCCACACACTACTAAAGCGACCTTGAGTAGTAGGAAATTATCGCGTTATATTTAAATAGCTTATGTTGTCCATTAGATCGAAAGATTTGATAAAGCCCATGTATAGACCCTTACCATTTAAGAAATCAGTACAGAAGTGGTTGAAAGTAGACAAAAGATACAGGCGTAAATAGGAATGCGTCTACTTTTGATACGATTGACCAAAAAGTATCTTAATACCAGGTGTCAACAGCCTTAGATACAGTACTAATATCAACAAGACGAGATGCCCAAAATAATATTAGACATCTTGAGCAGGAACCTGCTTCTGTCGGCCTACTGTACCCATAAACCAAAACTAGTTTCTGCAGCTCAAACTCACCCGCTGGTAGTTCTGCTCTTTCTGGATCTGTTCCACCTGATCCAGGAGCTGTCGGACCCTCAGCTGCAGCTCGCTCAGTTTGTCTTTGGCTGCGATCTCGGGGTAGTTGTTGGTGTGCTCACCAACCTGAATCTCCAAGTGGACTCTCTGTAAGACAGCATGGTTTCACATGTTACTGTTCAGTGACTTATACTGTATTATATTGAAATTAGTGACTTTCTCATATCTTGAAGTCATCTCAAAACTTGAAAATGATCCATATTTATATTGTATTTGACCAGTGTTGTTATTAAGTAAAACTATTCAAAATCAGCTTCTTAACTGAATCAAATGAAACAGAAATATTAGATGGGGGAAAACTAAAACAAAAATTAGAACTGAACGAATATAAAATAATAACTGAAGTAAGAAAATGACTGAAATGGAAATAAAAAAATAAAGAAATGTTTAAAAAACAAAACTATAATATACCATAGTAATAAAAAAAGCACACATAGTATATAAATAATACTAAAATAGCACTGCATTTGTCATAAAAATATTACGAGATGTAATTTATTAAATATAGAGACTGCACATTGGACAGCTCATTACTCAAAACCATTAATTAAGGTATCAAAATATGAATAAAATACTATAGATAATACTAAAATAACACTGTATTTGACATATATTACTGGATGTAATTTATTAAATGTAGAAACTGCATTTTGGGCAGCTTATTACTCAAAAGTATTAGTTAAAAAGTCAAAATAGGAATAAATACTATATTAGTATAAATAATACTAAAATAACACTGCATTTTACTGGATGTAATTTTAATACGAAAACTGCATATTGCACAGCTTCTTACTCAAAATTATTAGTTAAAATGTCAAAATATGAATAAATACTATATTAGTATAAATAATATTAAAAAAACCACTGTATTTGACTAATTTTACTGGATGTAATTTATTAAATATAGAAACTGCATATTGGGCAGATTATTACTCCGATGTTTTAATTAAAATGTCAAAATGTGAATAAATACTATAATAGTATATGAGCAATACTAAAATAACAATATATTTGACACAAATACTACTGGGTGTAATGTGTTAAATATAGAGATTGCATATTGGACAGCTTATTACTCAAAATTAAGAAGTAAAATGACAAAATATGAATAAATATAGTTTATTTCACCCTCAAGTTGTTCCAAGCCTGTAAGCATGTCTTTCTTCTGCTGAACACAAAAGAAAGTAACCAAACAGTTTATATGGACCCCATTAACTTCCATAGTATGAAGAAAAAAGAAAAAAAACTATGGAAGGCAATGGGGTCCATCAACTGTATGATTACCGACATTCGTCAAAAATATCTTCTTTTGTGTTCAGCACTTAAACTGATCTCTATATTTATCTTCTGCTCCATAAGTTTAACAGTTGTACCAGTTTTCCTCCAGCAAACAGTGCCATCTTGGTGGAGTTGGAGTGAAGGCAGATCTGATGCTCGCCTGGTGTGTGGGACGTGAAGGTGAAACGTCCATCTGATCCATACTGACGGGACAGAATGATCTGAAATAAACAATGAGAGAATATGATTTCACAGAAGTAAACTTGCATTTGTATTTGTGTAATTGTTATATATCAGGCATGTTTGAAATGTAGAGTGTAAACAAAGACAGGCTACATTTGTCTCAGGGTCCTTGATTTCCACATGCATGCCTAATCCAGGGGTGGACGGGAGAAAAGAGCCAGCCTGTTTGTCCCACAGCTGTGTCCTGTATCTTCCTGAAAGAAAAAACACAAATAAAACCCAACACAGTGATCATTTGCGTCACAAATTAAAACTGATAAACATAATTATAAGAGGAACAGGATGTTATTATTATTAATTATGCAGTATGGATATTATAGATCAAATATACATGCATTGTCTCCTGTCATCATAACTGTTATTTATGATTACTATAAACAAGGGATAAATCCAGGCTGTAGCTGCTGTCAGAAAGGAACTGGTTGCACCTGTTTCTCAGGTACCCAAGCAGGATCCTGCACCTGCCACATCCTTGATCATGCTGATCTACTCAAAGCCCTGTTTCATTTGGACACATAATCACATCCATACCTAAAATCTAATTTCATATCAGCTGTCTTCAGGTTGAGTGTAATAAATGAAACAAAAAGTGAATATTTCTACTGATAAATCCAGATGGATGAATCAGCTAACCGACAAAGCTAACCGATCACAGAGAGCCGATTTGACAATGGACGTACCGATCACCATGGTTTCATCGGGTATTTCTTCTATAAAACATTTCTTCTCCGTCTCTCCGATGTGGAAATAAAGGGCTTGGCTTAGAGAAAGCCACGCAAATAGAAGCAAAAGCCCGGCACAGGACACCATCGCCTTCATCTCCATCCAAATCTCCCCTCATTCAATCCAGGGCTAAGAATCGATTGCAGAATCACTTGTTCTAAACAAGGGCTTTTGTTTAAAGTGTCCGCCCATGTTCACGAGTTGCATAAAGGTTTATCTGAAGACAGAAACTAAAAATCTTAATTTGAAATAATAAATAATGACGTATTAGATTTATTGGGGGATATTTAAATCAACCTCATTTGTATATAAATTTCTATGTAAAATACTCTTTGAAAAGTGATTTGTACATAAAAGAATAAATGAAAATCTTTTAGTAAGAGCATGAAATCATGCATAACATATAAAACGACTATAATTGTTATCATCAACAGCAATTAAAAAAATAATAATGCATTGATAATGATAAATGTATTTTATGAACGTATTTATGCAAGGACTTTTACTTTGGAATGCAGTTTATTCACGCATTAACCGGAAGCAGTCCTGCGTTAAATTACCCACAACCGCTTGTGTTTTAGTCGAGAAGTTTCTCGTTTGTTTATTCACTCAATTCAGTAGTTGTCTCGCTTTTTCAGTGTTTTCATTTCTTTTTCTGAGTGTCTTGTGGAAGAGTCGCAATGGCGCAGTATAAAGGAGCGGCAAGTGAAGCGGGGAGAGCGATGCAGCTCATGAAGAAGAGAGAAAGAGAGCGAGAACAGCTCGAGCAGCTGAAGCAGAAGATAGCAGAGGCAAGTGTGCCCGAAACCGAATAACAAACACAAAACATATAAACACACTGGCCATTCAACCTGCCCTCAGTAAATGCCTCCAATAAATAGATGCAAATTCAAAAGTGTGGAATATATAACGTTATATAGTATCCATTTATATATTGGATATTACATATTGTTAAACCTAGAACATCATGGTTATGCTTATTATTGACCATGTTAGACAGTACAGTCACATGAAAAGGTTCATTTATAACGTAGTGTGGTATATATATATATATATATATATATATATATATGCACACACACATGATTTTAATAAACTAGTAAACAATTGAATTTTGATTAAGTGTATGAAGATTCATACTCTGCGTATGAATATACATATACATGTTTATGCGGACCATGAAATAGTAGAACTTTGTAGTAGGGACTTGTCCACTAGTTTACTAAAAATCATGTGCCTGTAAAATTATATTTGTATGTGTTCACATTGTTATGGACCACTTCTTGGACACTTTTTTTTAATACTATGATTAAATATGACATACATACCATTGTATAACAAGACACATATCATTTGTTTTAAAGACACATTTGTAAAACACACCCTTCAAGCAATGTTGAAATGATACAACATTCTATTTTGGGAGCACAGCATTTAAACTACTGATCTTTAAGCATCATATAACTATAATCATTGTAGAATATTGTTATATTGTTATATACACAGTATCAGTACAATCTATGCAGCTCAAATAAATATATACTGCTCATAATTTATGTAAAACATCTCCCGTAACTGAACTTCACCTTCTCCTTTCTAGGACAACATGGTGAAATCCAACATTGATAAAAAGTTCTCCGCTCATTATGATGCTGTGGAGCAAGAGCTTAAGTCCAGCACTGTTGGTAAGTGAGCATTAAAAATGAAAGGACTTGTTATGATTCTGAAATACGTCTGTAATGTTTTTTTCTTTTTTTCTTGTAGTTATTCAGGAAGGGTTATAGATTTGTGTTATGACTAAGGCTGTCATTTGATTATTATTAGATTGTCATAAGACTTTGGCAACAACCTCCTTCAGAATTATTTAATTTAAGCATACTTAATCACTTTGTGAGTGAAGGCTGTTTTTCTCTGCAGGTCTGGTGACTCTTAATGACATGAAAGCGAAGCAGGAAGCTCTGGTCAAAGAACGAGAGAAACAGCTTGCCAAGAAGGAGCAGTCAAAAGAGCTACAGCTGTAAGGCCTTTTCAGTTATTTGAACTTTGCTTCTCTCCTGCTTGGTGTCTTTTTCTCCATATGATTGAATGAAATCATTTTAAGGCTATGTTTTTGTAGATCCTTGCATTGCGCCCTCCAGGCATCCTACTTTTCTTTGTTTCTTTTTTCTCTTAAATTCTGTGTGAAGTTTGATTTTAAAGCTTCATGTTTGGTCTCTTCTTGTAGGAAACTGGAGAAGCAGAAGGAGAAGAAAAGAAAGGAAGAGCAGAAAAGGAAGATTGCCAGTTTATCCTTCAATCCGGAAGAAGGAGAGGAGGAGGAGGAGGAGGAGGAAGAAGAGGAGGAAGAGGAAATTGAGGAGGAGATATGTATGGCATTTTACACAGAAGTGGAACAAATTTCTACGCATTACTGCTGCCTAGATTAAATCCAGCACATAATTATATACCTTATTTCTGACCAACATAGATTTATTTTTATGCATTATTTTAATGGATTATTTATTTTAACTTAATTTAATTAATTTTTTTGTCATTGTCTTTAACAGGCATACCTGTAAAAAAGAAAAAACTAGGGAAAAACCCAGATGTGGACACGAGTTTCCTGCCAGATAGAGACAGAGAGGTATTTAAAAAAAGAAATACATTTCTCTAATTGATTTATGTTTGTATTGGATTTCTTGAAATAATGTATCAAAAGTAGGATTAAAAATAGCAGTTATGATATGATATTCTGTGACAGTCTGTACTTTTTATTAATTTAAATGCAATCAATTTACTTTATAAATTAAAAACATGACATTTCCTGTTAGCAAACTTGCCTATAAAATACAATAACTGAAAAAGTACATTAGATTTTCGTTATTTTATTTACATGAACATAATTGCTGTTGCAAAAAAATAATATTTGTGTGTAGGGTATGGCTATATAGGTTATTTATATATGGTTATTACAGGCGAAGAATGGAGGCAGTGTTGAAGTGTTTTGATTGTATTCTGGGTGCTGGATCATATCGCTAGACACCATACAACTACACAATTTGCAGGAAAATTCTAAATCACACGAGGTCCCCAGATATTACTAATCCCATGCGAATAGGGCTTTAGTTTATTTTTTAAAACACTACAATAAATATATATATAAAATTCAGCCCCCCAAGTGGCCATTAGGAGTGACTGCATTACATAGTCTGTCAGTCATATAATGCAGGTGTATGGTCACCACCTCAAAGAGCATGCACAGAGAAGTCCAAATTCCAAAGTCGTAAATGTACGTACACATTGATGGCTTAAGACACGAAACGAGCAGTTTGTGTGAGACAACGAACAGGATTTATATCATTTTAAACCTCTTGTAATCACTGCCACGTCCAAGTGATCTGAAGGCGTTTCGGTCGGCACAAGTGCCGGAAACCCCCGGAAGTAATCTCTCGTTCGTGTACGTCACTCATTGTTTACACAGAACAAAGATTGTAGGTAAGACGGCTAATTAAAATGGTACTAATTTGCGCTTATCCAGGATGTTTAAACCGTCGTAATAAAACAATTACGTATGCTCGCGTGAACTCTTCTTCACTACCGTCGAGATCACTTCCGGCGCTTGCGCAGACCAAAGAGATATAAGAGATAAACGATAAAAATACTGTTCGTGTTCTCACACAAACCAAACCACCCGTTTCATGTCTTAGGCCATCAATGTGTACTTACATTTGTGAGTCATTAAATCATGTTTAATCTGGACTTCTCTGTGCATGCTCTTTGAGGTGGTGACCATAGACCAGCATTATATGACTGACAGACAAGAACGATTTGACCTAAAAATATCAAAATTGAAAATACTGTGGAAACCTACATCTTGGATGCCCTTGAGGTAAATTAAAACATACCAAAAATTAATTTCAAAGTGCGCCCTTTACTGCTTATTGGCTACAAGTGTGTTTGGATGCTTAGTCCGATCCACTTTTCAACAGCGTTTTTTTTTCAAAAATCGCTTACTGCGTCTTTAACAAGCCTCTTCTGGGCAGTGTTTTACACTTTGAGACATCAGCCTGAGCTTAATCACAAAGCTGCATACCAAATTTGTCAACTGTCACAAGAATTATGGTTTTGTTGTGATTGTTTTTTCTGCTTTGGCTAATTGCCAGTCAGTTTTCAATGAGGCGTGTCAACTGTTAAGATCCTTAGATCTGACAGATAACATCTACTTTGTCACGAAGGTCTTGTTTGCGTTTATCCTGTGAATATCTGAACCATACATGTCATATTTATGCATCAACTGTTTTATTGAAAAGCTTTGGATTGTTTCCAGAAATTAAAAAAACTGAATTGTTAAGAGATTGATAGATGATCCTTGAGAGGAATTAGCACTATGTATGTGTTTGTATGCGTGTATATGTCAGAGGTCGCACGCCTCTGGAGCAACTAGGAGTTAAGTGTCTTGCTCAGGGACACATTGGTGTCTCACAGTGGACATCTCCTGCCTTAAAAAGAGGAATCACTTTTGCTACTTTCATTCTATCAGGAAATTGGCCAGTTTGCAACGATAAGACGTGCATGTTAACGGCTTACAGATAACTTTCAATAACACTTTTTAAGGTCGTCTGTCGAGGTTATAAGCTATATATAAGCTATAGATTCAGTATTTATGAGCTTCTTTGATATGCCCTTAAAAATGCTTTCCATTTTTTTAAAGAACCGTTTTAAAGACTCGTAGGCTTGTAGTCTGTATGTTGTTGAAACAGTACAATACAACATTTTGTATGTGTAATTGTGAGTAAAATGTGCGTTTCAGGAAGAAGAGAATCGTTTAAGAGAGGAACTCCGGCAGGAGTGGGAAAGAAAACAAGAGAAGATCAAAAGTAAGATTTAAGATCATCATGTGCTGTTATGGAGATTACCTTTTGTTTGCTATCTCTGAACCTGGCCAAGAGTGCAGTTGAACCTGTTGACTTATTCCTTTATTCATTTCAACTCGTCTAGTCATATTTTGATCAGTTGATATTACAGACCTGTGCTTCAACCTGTCTTTTTTTTTTTTTTTTTTTAGGTGAAGAAATTGAAATCACTTTCAGCTACTGGGATGGCTCAGGGCATCGTAAAACTGTCAAGGTACAGAACAGATTATCAGATTATCTAATTTAAGGAAACTACATGCACAAGATGTTACATGTTCTGTATTGTAAAAATGTTCTCAACTGAGTTTAATATACTATAATATTTGTGTATGTGCCCATGTAGATGAAGAAAGGCAACACAATGCAGCAGTTTCTCCAAAGGGCCCTGGAAGTTTTGAGAAAAGATTTCAGTGAGCTGAGGTAAATGCATTTATTGTCACCTGCTATAAAATAAAACATTCTTAGATTTAGTAGACAGTGAAGATAGTCAGTTAACACATTTAGAGTTTATTTAAATCTATTTGTGTGTGTGTGTGTGCATTTACAAAAACATGTTCGTTTTCTTCAGAATTGAGTAATATCAATGATGAATATAAATTTCTATAAAAGAAAAGTGTGCTGGTATTAAATGAAAGCTCAATGGACAAAATCAAGACTTTTTGTTCTAAAGTGAGATAATATTAAAGCCTATTTGTGTCCTTCAGATCAGCAGGAGTGGAGCATCTAATGTACATTAAAGAGGATTTGATAATCCCGCATGTGAGTAAAGTTTCCCCCAAACAAAACTGTAAATGTTATTGCTTATAAAACACCTCATTTGTTAGACCAATTACGTCTCTTTTAAATCACTGCGAGATTTGTCATTTTTACAATGCACTTTTCTTCTGTACATGAATGTACATCGCCTAAATTCCAGGTTTTGTCACAGGAACATTTACAAGTACAACGTAAACAGCTTTACAATGTTTTAAGGGCATTTTAGGAAGTCTTTTCCTGATTGCAAAGACAGGTGGTAATAAATCACAGTTTTTATAGTTATCCGATTTTCTTTCAGCACCACAGTTTCTATGATTTCATCGTGACAAAGGCGAGAGGCAAAAGTGGTGAGTTCCTTCTTCCTCTACCACATTCAGTTGAACAGGTTTCAATGTGGCTTCTGTATTTCACACATGACTTTCCTCTGATATTTTATAATATAAAGATAACTGATTGTATTTAGCATTAGCCTGTTATTTTCATGTTGTATGTTTGTTTTTGGTGCTGAATTGAGACCTTCCTCTTTTTCTTCAGGGCCCCTTTTCAATTTTGATGTGCATGAGGACATTCGGCTGGTGAACGATGCCACAGTTGAGAAAGATGAGGTAATAATGTCAGCATAATGTCTGGTCTATATTCTGGGCAAGAACCACGCAAGTTTAAAGGAAGAGACCTGCATGTAAATGTGATGTTTTGGGGCATTACGAGATATGATTCTCGTAAATGGAAGCAATGGACACGTAAATGTACGTATGGCGTAAATGGACACATTTTTCCTAGTTGTAGTTACATGGAAACTTGCAAACACAATGTTTCATGGTGAACATGCACATTGACTCATATTGAAAACACATGGAAGCCAGTCGGTTTTGATAGAGCTTCGGCTGAATTCAAAGCTCTTTGTGGTTCTTTGTCCAGTCTCATGCAGGAAAAGTGGTGCTGAGGAGCTGGTATGAAAAAAACAAACACATCTTCCCTGCCAGCCGTTGGGAGCCTTATGACCCCGAAAAAAAGTGGGACAAATACACAGTGAGTATATCTTCCACTAAAGACCTTATGTTGAAATTCGAGTTGAGTGAAAGTCCCTAAAATTTACTGCAGCCACATGTTTAGTAGTAGAACCATATAAAAGAAGCTCTGTGATCTTGACGTATTTGATCATGACACGGTCCTAACCAAAACTAATGTGTTCCAGCAATAGCTAAACGGGCTTTCTGTACTGTAGATGAAATGTTTACAGACTGTTTTGCATTGCTTTTCAGATTCGGTGAGACGCCACATCCACGAGACGAACAAGAGAGTTCCTGAACCATCTTAATGTTTTGTTGGTTTTATTGACATCAGGCACCAAAATGCTTTATCTTGCGTAGCATTTCTGAATAGCTATAACTGTTTGCACCCACGTTTTCATTGTATATAGGTGAACATGAGGTCTAAACCGAGGCCGATCGTAAACATTCTTTGTCAAACGCTCGTAGTCGGATCTTGCACACAACTAACCTGACACGTCTTTTTGTCAACGCATCTGATGTTTGCCTTCTTGATTGTAAATAGAGTCCGTTGAGTGTTTCAATCATCTCTTGAATCATATTTAAAAATAAACTCCCCGTTTATGTACCGTTTGTGTGTTTTCCTGTCGAATCATTTTATGATTGCTCCATCGCTACTACAGGCACTTTTTTAAAAGATTGTTATTGTTCAAGTTTTGACATATTTGTAGTCTTCTGTAATGAAACGTCCCCATTGAAAATCAACACAAGGTATAAAAAGTCACGTAAAAACCACAGGCTATAAATCTCTCATGGTGTTTTTCCTGGAAAGGCATTTAGGGGAACAAAATCTGTTTTCACAGATGCGGAAAGTTATTTTTGGACATTGGCTGGTTAGTCCTGCAGGAATATGTGGTGGTGTGGTGGTCATTATTCCGTTTGCACATTTAAGCCAAAAGCGCAGCTTCAAGCAGTAAATCAGGTTAAGCATACCTGGTGGCACAGCAGATGGATTTTGACAGCCTCCCCCCCCCCAGGCCACCACTCCCTCAACTGCTGTTGTTTTCATTCCCAACCCTCTGCCTACCTCCTCCCTTCCCCTTCCGTTCCACCCCCTCTGCTTTCACTCAAGTGATCTTCAGTTCTTCAAGAGACCTGGCTTATCTGCGTTGAGGACATAGTCGTGTTGGGGTTTGAAGACGGTTTTCAGTGTCCTTCAGGCAGGTAAAGGGAGTGGGATGAGGCCACCCACACTGACCCTGGATCTGCTCCTGCTGGTCAGTTTATCCCTCGGCGCCCATGGTGAATCTTACAGACCTCAGAGTTGCACGCTTGAATGCATCCGCTTGGTAAGACTTCATACTTTTACTTTTCCATTCGGCTGTAACAACATTTAAGGAATAAGCAGTACTGTTTTTATTAATTTCGCTAAGGATTAAATTAATTGTTATGTAAATAAATATAACTTTAAACTCATAATTCTCCAATGAGACCCAACTGAAAATCTGGATTTCAAAATGTAATTTGCACCTGGAAATAAGGGTTTAGATTTTTTTTAATCATAAAATATGTAAAAAGTGTATGATTTCTAGGTCACTCATCAAATGAATCAAATTAATTAAATGTTGTTTTTTTTTTTTTTGCCAATATTGTCATTACTGAAATTCATTTAAATATGCTGGATTGTCGCAAAGTGTTCATCGAGGGATTTCACGTTCACTCGTCTCACTCATTCTCACAGACTGATCTTAATCTCGGTCTTTTCTTTTTGCTCCTTTGGTTCTCTCTCGTGCTTCAATATTTTTTTTGCCTTTTCACTATATCTTGTTTTTCTGGTTGCTTCAGGTCAGGTACATGATCATTTGTTTTGTTTTTTGCAGTATCTGTCTGCTTTATTTAGTTTGATTATTATTGATTATAGCATGACGTCACATTTATTTATGTGGCGATTTTTACAATACAGATAATTTCAAAGCAGCTTAACGGAGATCACAGGAAAATAATGCAACAAAGTTTGTTTCCAGAAGAAAATAGCATCACAGTCCATCTTAAGTAAGTGAAAAAAGGCGACAGTGGCAAGGAACCAAAATCCGGCTGACTACATCATGCGTTGTGGTCATGTCTAGGCTCAGGTCCACCATCTGATCTGAATACTGTTGGCTGATTACAGTAAACCTTTTAATAAGCAGATAGACTGACATCAGCGTAGATGCCATTCTTCTTATGATGTAACAGATACTTCGAGTGTCATAGGAAGTGTTCTCAGTTCCGGCTGACCTAATTTATGCAGCCTAATAATAATTTTATTGATTTTTATATGATAGTATTATTTTCTCTGTGTATGTTTTTTTAGTCTAGATTTAAACTGACAAGAGTGTGTCTGCTTCCCGGGCAATGTTAGGGAGACTGTTCCAGAGTTTAGGTGCTAAATGGAAAATGATCTACCGCCTTTTATTTTACCAATTATTAGAAACTCTGTTTTTTTTTTTTTTCAGAATTAAGTAATAGGAAATTACTAGTCATTCAAATTTTTATATCAGCTGTGCATTCCGTTAAAATTCTTGAATTGGCAAGTTTCATTGGGGCACAAAGAGATATAGACCTGAGTATCATCGACATATAATGCCAACTTAATGTTTGAGTCTATTTAAAACAATATTGTGGTCGATGGTATCAAATGCAGCGCTAAGATCGAGTAACACTAATGGAGAGAATGAGAGATACAACCACGATCGGATAATAAAAGCAAATAATTTGTAACTCTAATGAGAGCAGTCTCAGTACTATGGTACGGTCTAAATCCTGACTGGAAATCTTCGCAGATACCATTTCTTTCTAAAAAGGAACATAATTGTGAGGATACTACATTTTCTAGTATCTTTGACAAAAAGGTTAGATCTGAGATTGGCATGTAATTGACCTATTCTCTAGGATCAAGTTGTTTTGTTTTAATAAGAGGTTTAATAACAGCGAGCTTAAAAGTTTTTATCTTTCAAAGATCTTCAGAAGAGGATTTATGACTTCTGGAAGCCTTTCTTTCAGGAGCTTAATTGGTATAGGGTCTATATACATGTTGTTGATTTAGATGATTTAACAAGTTTAGACAAATCTCTGCAAGAAATGAATGGAATTTTTGCTCAGGGAGACTACAATGCACTGCCTGATGTAATAATGTAGTAGATGGTTGCATAACTTTATAATTGAATCTCTAATATTATCAGTCTTGTAAGCAAGAAGTTCATAAAGTCATTACTGCTGTGCTCTTTGGAAACTTCAGAAGTAAGCTTGATTTCTTGTTAATTCAGCCACTGTATCAAATAAATACCTAGGGTTGTGTTTGTGCTTGTTTGGGTTGTTTCTGAACCCCAAATCGTCATGTTTGAGCTCTAAGATAAGATGTGCCATATTACTAGAGAGAAGGTCGGCATTCGGCACCATCCCAGGAGGGATGAATACCATCTCTTTTCATCAGCTCAGGTCTGCCCCAAAAACTTTTCCAATTGTCTCTGAACCCTATATTATTTTGCAGACACCACTTAGACAGCCAGCCGTTGCGTGAGGACTTCTCATCACTCTGGTGAACGGACCGGAAGGGGGCCAGAGCAAATTACAGTGCCTGACATCATACTTGTGAACTAGGAGTTCGCACACCCCTTTAACGTTAATTTTAGTGATCTCTGACTGGCGATGTCGAACATCATTAGTGCCGACGTGAATAATAATCTTAGAGAATTTACGGTTATAATTAGCCAGCACTTTTAATTTTGCCTTGATGTCAGGCGCACTGGCGGCTGGTGTATTTTCACGTTCCTTGTAATAGAACCGCTTTTAACAGGATTCTTAGTGGGTGTTTCACTGAGTGAGGAGAATTTGTTATGATAATCGGAACTGAAGAGCGGGGTTTTGTCCCGCGACTACAGCGTCTCACGGTAACCCAGTTGCCCTGCTGCGCGGGCTCTACAGCCGGAACCGAACACACATCCTAGTCACATCCAGTATCTAAAGCCCTTCCTTGCATTCTTACTATCCACGATTAAAGTTTGGATGCGTGTCTCTAGTTCTGAAAGAGCACAAAGCCAAGTCCACTCTGTGTAAAATCGCAAATTATATGATTTCTAACTGAAAAATTAGAAGCAAGAAATCTGGCCTTTTGTATAGGCTAATGGAATTTACAAGGTCAGTGTTATTACACATTTGTTTAGTTGCCTAGAAATGGTGCAGAATCTGTAATATTTCACATTTTCCCTATTTTTTTTATAAAGTGGACGATGTGTATTTTCAGGGAGACCCAAGATGTGAATACTGCAGAATCACAGCAGACGATGTGCAAATATCTCCCATTATTCCCTCCTCCAGCCCGTTTGGAAGTAAGTCAATATCCAGCACCCACATATTGACCTATAATGACACAACATAATCCAGCTCTGCCAAAACCCAATGGTCATTGTAAACTTTCAAGGAGTTAATGAAATAAAGCTTCGTAGGAGTAAAGGGATTGCTTTCAGCCAGTGAAATAATGTAAACTTGTAGATGAACCCTAGGATAATGGACAAACATGACTGTGAACACAGTTAATGATCAGTGTATAAACAACTCAACTGGTGATTGAGTTTTACATTTCTCAGGATGATGGCTTAGTGGGAAAAAGCTCATCAAACAATCTGGCATTGACTTTGCATGCTTTACACGGCCAGTACACTTTGTCCTGCATCCCGCATCGCTAAATGATAACATATGAAATGGATTTGAAATAGCCTTTCACAGGCAGCGATCAGTGTTGACATACTAAAAGTGTGACTGACATTTTTAATTGTTAATTCGAGTTGCGTGATGTAGGATAATTACTCTCGCTTGTTTTGTTGGATTAAGTTGTTCTGGTAATTTCACAAAACAAGACAAGCTGTTTTGCATTATAATTGTTTACAGCAGTTCCAGGAATCACTTGGCTTTCCTTGAACCAAACTGTAATCTGTATGTTTGATTTTCCATTTTCAGCTGCTTTCAAAGTTAGGATTTTCTTATTGTCTCATGTAAATCAAATGCCTTTCACTTGTTCTCGGATGTTTTTAACTTTACCATCTCAAAGTAGCTTTTGACAGTGTACCTCATGTCATGTGCAAATAGCTCATTACAATAACAAGCTCATTTAGTGTAACTGTGTTGTAACTCCTCTCCTCGGCTAGGTTGTGTACCTTGGCCTTGTCAATATTTTCTAGGTCAGGAAACCCCAGAGGTCTGCCAGCATTATGTTCACCCACCTCAAAATATTCACATCGAGTTTGAAGCCAATAAAGATCCAACATTTGATACCATTACTGTATCATGGAACCCAAGTCAATATGGTAATGATCGTCACTCTGTCTGTCTGTCGTTTCATGTTCTAGCCATCCATCCATCTATCCATCTGTCTGTTGTTCTATCCATCTGTCTGTAATTCTATCAATGCCTATCTGTCGTTCAATCTATATATCGTCCCCTCGGTATCTGTCTAATATTTCAATGATGTACACAGGTATTGCATTCTTACGAGGATTTCAAGTAACCCTTCAGGCTCTTGGTGGATCTCAATTATCATGTCAGCTCTTTCTCCTGGGTAGCAATCTGTCCCTCACCCCTGCACATGCCCATCGGGTATGTAAAAAAACCTACAACTTAGGTAGCGCCCAATGTTATTTTATTCTATATTATATTATTGTGTAATATATTTTCAAACTATAAGGAAAAACAAAACAAAACAGGGCTTTTAGTATCTTTTTAAGAACTTACTGTTTCTGTATTTATATAACTGAGTTCAAATGTACTAGTTCCTGAAGTCATGAGATCAAGCAATGTATTGTCTTGATGGTTTTCACAGGTCTATTACTCGGATCCCTTCACGAATCTGTCTTTGGATAGGGAGTATGTCGTGACTGTCATGGCACTCCCCGTCCCTGAGCGGTGGGAGCATTCCTATGAGAAGAAAATGTTTTTCACACGCAGTAAGCACTTCCCTTTTGATTAAAAACAAACCACGTAATTAGTTTGATAGTCATTCACAATGTTGACAACTTGCACCTCTACACATTAAGAGAATCCTTTAACAAATGCTACTTCACAATTTGTGTTTTCAGCATGTCCTGAAAAAAATGGTCTTGAAGAGTGTGAGAAAGGTGAGTGTTGTAGCCATCACGTGTCTTCTGTGTTCCTGTTGATCATTGCACATGGTCCTCAGATGTGTTCATTCCAACGCATTCTCATCCTTTAGCGTCATATAGAACGTTATATGACAAAACGGCGCCATACTACGCACATGGCACCCGTTATCGTTAATATAACACGCGTTGTGATGGGTAGGTTTAGGTGTGGGGTAGGGTAGGGTAGTCTCATATTACGCTAAAGGATTTATGACGCCTTGGGTTCGCGTGTTATATTAACGATAAACGATGCCATGTGCGTAGTATAGCGCCGTTTTGTCATATAGCGTTCTATGTGACGCTAAAGGATGAGAACGGGCTCGTTCATTCATGTCATGTCATTCATTATAGACTGGTATCCCAGATACGTTGAGGTCCACCAGGAGAACCAGGATGTTTATGTGACCTTTAACCTTGCACCTGAGAACTTTGAAGTCCGTCAGTATTTTTCATCATGTTTCGGAGGTGGGCTACGAAATTACACAAGCATCAAACCGGTGGGTTTAAAAAAACCAAACATTTTAAATATAAAACATTGAAGGAGTAGTTCACTTTAAAAAAAACTTTTGCTGATAATTTACTCACCCCCATGTCATCCAAGATGTCCACGTCTTTCTTTCTTCAGTCGAAAAGAAATTAAGGTTTTTGATGAAAACATTCCAGGATTTTCTCCATATAATTTACTTCAATGGGAACCAAACAGTTCAAGGTCCAAATGAGAGTTTCAGTGCAAACTGCAAAGTGTTTTAGACGACTCCAGGCGATGAATAAGGGTCTTATCTAGGACCCTCCGAGACTTGAAAAAAGATTTATTCATTTTGATGAACGAGTTTGAACAGAAGAGTCCCGAAGGCTCATCACAGAACAGAGCAAGGCGAGCATTTGTGCTTATAAAACTTAAAAAAAATAAATATATTTTATTTTTTAAATGGCCGATCGTTTCGCTAGATAAGACCCTTTTTCATCGTCTGGTGTTGTTTAAAGCCCTTTGAAGCTGCACTGAAACTCTCATTTGGATCTTGAACCGTTTGGTTCCCAATGAAGTCCATTACATGGAGAAAATCCTGGAATGTTTTCATCAAAAACCTTAATTTCTTTTCGACTGAAGAAAGAAAGACATGGACATCTTGGATGACACGGGGGTGAGTAAATTATCAGCAAAAGTTTTTTTTTTAAAGTGAACTACTCCTTTAATAACAACGTTTATAATACAGACTTAAGAATACAGATATTGTTGTTATTTAATCAAGTGTAATATGAATCAATGTTATTTATGAATCATTTAAATAATTATGAAATGAATACAGTTTCTCAAACGTTCACCTGATAACTATTAAATCAGAATTTTTGCTGATGTCTAGGATTTTAGTCTCAACAAGACACATCACACATACCGGTTGCAGAATCTCCAAGCAGGGACAAACTACACCTGTCAGGTGAGTCTTCATTCTTCAGATTAAATGGGTGTGTGTTTGTTTAGCTTTCTTTAATATTGAATGAGAGATCAGGGACACAATCATTCAGACACATTAAAAAGTCCGTGCCAATAAGCTTCTACAAATATTTGATATAACATTCTATATATCTATATAATTCCCAGATGTTTTTTTGTTCAGTAGTTTTTACATTTTTTTCCCTTCAGATTGCCGCCGATGTCGTGGATGCAGTCAGGAAAACGTTCGTTGTTGTGGTTAAACATAGCTCTGAAGGTAAAGTTGAACTGTCAAATCAAAAAAGAACACACATTCACATTCATGTTAGAGATTATTGTACACACTGAAGGCAAAACACATTTTTTTGTTACGTGCACAATGCTTAGTCTTTAGCGTGTACAGAATCTGCAGGTGGAGTAAAATGCCTGGCAGCTCTTAAAGAGGCAACACCCTTTGAAACAATTATGTTATCAAAGACTTTAATGTCATAATCCGTTTGGTATTTTTCCCTCTCACGATCAGAGACATCAACCTCACATTTGACCGAAAGCCCTTCACTGATGGTGCTCTTGTCCGTGGGAATCCTGCTTTCTGCTACCGCAGTCCTCACCTTCATCGCTGTCTACAAGAAAAGACTGAAGAAGAAACAAGTCCAGACCAAAATGAGACCAGGTTTGAGTTTTATAACCAATCGATAAGTGATTGTACTTCAGTGATAAAACTGCTAAGCGTCACATTGTGTTCTGCTTTTTATTTATACATGTTGAATATTTTGTTCTCAAAGGCAGGACTATAAATTAATTTGTGAAGTTTAAAAGGTGTTTTTGAGAATGCCAATGAAAGCTGGGTGCACAGTGTAAGATTTATAATAGTGTTGCTTGTCCGAAATAATAGTCAAGCAATGTCACATACTGTAGGGTCTCAGTTGTCATTGATGTCAGACTGTAGCCAACGGCAATCAAGATACGCTAAAAACAGACGCATGCAAGAAGTTTGACATCATCAGTCCGTGACGCGTTCAGTGACTTGTTGAATTGATGATTGTCGTGGGAGAAGTCGCATTACAGGACCGTGCGTCAGATCTTCTGAGACTGACACAATTTTGCCTGAGGGTAAAGGTCATTAATCGGCTGTCTGCAAAGATGTCAAACTAGTGATCAAAGACTTCAAATTTTGCCCTAGGATCTGAGTAATCGTTTAGGATTCTTTTTTTTGTGTGTGTCTCAGACGGCTAAAATCATACAATGTGAACCAAACTTAAGATGTACGTTGTTTTGTACTAATGGGCAATTGTGTTTGTTATTTCCTATTTGTCAGAAATCATCGAACAGTACTATGACAAAAAACTGTGTGAAGGACAGAGTGTTTTGCTGGACAAACCCACCCGTCCCCCTCGTCTTCTGATTTGCTATTCCAGTAATGATGGTCCTGCCCACGTCAGAGTCGTGTTGCAACTGGCTGCTTTTTTGCAAAAGCACATGGCGACTCAAGTAAGTGTATTAGGATTAAATCAAAGCATGCTGAGAATATTTGTATTATTTTAAGATTTTGTTTTCCCATCCATCTGAAACATGAAACATTTTGTTTGAGATTATTAGACAATTCATGAATGTAGTGTATTTTTGAAAAAAAATTAACACACACACACACAAACTAGGGATGGGGCCGATCCGATCCAGTATCGGTATCGGGACCGATACCAGCGTAATTCACGTATCGGATTTTTCCGATCCAACCTGCGGAGAAATCCGATATTTATGATCCATGTCTGCGCTTTAACGTTGGCTGCTGAAATGACTCCAAAAGGGATTCCCCGGGGCTGCTAGTCTGCTAGCTGGCTGCAAACTGTGGAATGGATATCCTGAACGGAAGTGCAGCTCAATCATAGACTGTAAAAACTAGGGCTCAATGAGACACACAGACGCCCGCTCAAGAAATCCATTCCGCAGTTTGCAGCCAGCTAGCATGATAGCATTGAGCTACCAATATGTTCGCTGTGTGGAAATCCTATGGTGGAAATACTTCACACTGGAAACACCGCAGCAGAGCAAGACCGCAAAATGCAATGTTTGCAAAGCCGTATAAATTAAACTATTTGTCTGTGATGCATGTTTGCAATTCGCAGTCCAGAAGAGAGAGAGAGAGAGATCTCTCACGCGGTGCCACAGCACGCACAACACGACAGCCCTGCTTAATGAGTGACGACAGAGAAAACATAGCCTGGTTACACTTTAGATCTGTGATATTAGTCTGATTTCCAAAGATTAAAGAATATATTGAGGTAAAAAAAACATTAAACAATAGCCGCATTCTGTGTAGCCAACTTCCTTCCCATCACGGCGGTGCACTGTCATTTCTCCGTAAAACTCAAACTTTAAGACAGAATCAGCACGATCGGTAATTGTTGTAAAATGCCGTCTCTGCTGTTGCTAAATTGCGGGACGCTTTTAATGATAAAAAGAGCTATTAAAAGCACAAAATTTGCGCAAGAGGGCGGCGCGCGCTCCGAAACAGACAAGCAAATTATACTTTGGGCTTCATATGCGCGCCTAAACGATCAAATGTAGCCTGCACAAAAATGTCAAAATGACCGGCTTGGAGATTATCACTTAACTACGTTCATTTTAGACATAAACGGTTTATGGAAATAGTTGGGAGAAAATATGGTGCATCAGTAGACAATGAAATCCGCACTAGTTCTTAAAGGGGCAGCAGTATAAATGTGACGATTGCGACATTACTGAGAATAAAACAACCAAAGGCAAAGAGAAAATCACTCACAGCTCTTGAATGAATAACTTCAGCTTTAATAAGCATAAATCTATCTATGATAAACTTTGCAGTGCTATTTTACTTTTGATTACTTTATTATAATTCTTTTTAGACGATATACCTGAATAATGTTAGTAGACCTTCCTGAAATTAAAGCACTGTGTAGGCCTGTATAATGCGTATATCTTTGTTTAATTGTCTATCTATTGTTTAATATATATATATATATATATATATATATATATATATATAGACATAGGCTACATACGTACGTATCATCCTTGCTTGTAGAGAGGTGTTTATTTCAGCATCATGTAAAATCAACAATAATGATAAATAATGTTAAAGCAAACACAGGTCTGGTATCGGAAAAGTATCGGTATCGGCCGATATCCAAAATCAGGTATCGGGATCGGATCGGAAGTGAAAAAATGTGGATCGGTGCATCCCTAACACAAACACAAAAAAAACAAATTCATTTGAATAGTAAATAATGAAACCCTCTTTCCAGTGTAATTGTACTATTGTTTACGCATTCTTATAGTATTTAGTAATGTTTTGAATTTGCTTTTATTTGTATATTTTTAATTTTTTATTGTTTTTTGTAATTTTCTCAGATTTTTATATATTTATAAATAACTAATAATTTTTTCGTTTACATCAACTTTGTATAAGTTTTCAGCTAATATTTATATTTTATTTCATCTAACGGGAACGGTTTTTAAGCTTAGTTAACATGGTCCTTTCAGTTCTAAAAACACAATATTATCTCCACATTGGCCATCAGTATCTCTATACAAAAGTATCAAATAATATAAATAAAAATGAATAAAATAATAAAAAATGTCTATCTATTTAAACAGATAAAATAAACTACATTTAAAATGTATTTTTTTTATGTATCCACAAATGAAAAAAATGTCTAAACATGGTTATTTCAACTCTTTATCTCTATTGTTATTCTGTTTAGGTGCATTTAGACTTGTGGGAGGCCTTGCGCATTATGGAGGAGGGCAGTTTGGGGTGGCATTGCAAGAACATGAAGGATTGTGACTTTGTGCTGGTCATCTGCTCCCGAGGTCTCCATCAGAACCAGTCTGAGGATGGGGAACCGCTGGAGAACACCACCTTAGTTACTGTTTCCATGATCGGAGAGGAGCTGTGTCGTGCCAAAGCGTTGGGTCAAGACCTCTCCAAATTCATGGTGGCCATATTTGAGTACTCGCGAGAGTCCGATATCCCAGCATCACTAGGTCTCGCTTCAAGATACACCCTGACTAAAGACTTACCTTTGCTTTTCTCCCATCTTCACGGAGTGGCTTTGCAGAAGCCTGGAGTTTACCTACAGGTGGAGGATATTTTAGAAAGTGGGTACTGTAAACTCCCAGCTGGGGCGGCCCTACAGCTGGCCATACAGGAGGCCAAGGCACAGTTTTCTGAGGAGCCGACTGAAGAGGAATATGTAGGAAATCCAATCATTTCATAAAATACATCGATAAATGCACTCACACAACCTAAAGTATACTTAAAATTTTTTTCATAGTCATACATAGCCTTTCAAAGTGTAAATTCATACACTACATGGGTGGGTACATAAGTGCATAGTCATTTGGGATCACATCTCACACAATCACATGTCAGCACGTGTGGATTTCGATTATTATTTTTTGTTCTTGTTCTGTTTTTGTTTCTTTTCTGACTGTGAAACAATGGTCCAGGCCAGTGTTGCCATCTTGTGGGCAAACTAATTAATGTAACAACAAAAATATGAATAAGGATGCATCTGAAATCGCATATTCGAGTAGTAATTACTTCACGGGCCCTAAAAAAGTATGTTCTATATAGAATGAGTTGGTGTAGTATGTATGTAATCTGGATTTACTGCCTTGCCATGTTGTCATTATCATGTGACCTACCAAGTTCAGTTGCGATGCTTCACTGCCATTCACAAAAGCTGTCATTGTGACCTCAAGGGATTGTAAAGTGTCCATCGTATGCACACTTCAGAATCTCGCCAGTAGTAGTAGGTCATCCGGGTACTTTTTTCCTTCTTTTATTAGTTCTGTCAATTCAAACATACTTCTTTTGTCACATACTGTTACTGTTATAGGGAAGTTTGCGATTTCAGATGCAGCCTAACATAAAGCGTGTGCGTGAGCTACGAAATTACACGTACATTGAATGAAATTCACCTTGCAGATGATTTACGTATTTCCTAGCGGAAGAGGTTTTCAAACTGGGGTCTGGAAGAGAGTCAGTCAGTGGAAAAATATAAAATAAATACATTGAATTACAAATGTAGGCTATCAAAATAAATACATTGATTTTTTTTAAATATATATCGAATAGTGAAGTGCAGTAATATCATGAGTAGAAAAATGTAATAAAAAAGACATATTTGAAGACCCGATAATCATTAAGTACCCAGAATACCCTAGCAACCACATAACAACGTACAGAATACCCTAGCAACCACATAGCATCCACTAACAGCTCTCACAGGAGTTCAACTTTATCTAAATTGCATGGGCCTTTTTTTAGATTGTTGAGAAAAACAAATGAGAGGGAACCGGAAGTACAGTGAGGTTGCCGAATGCTGTGAACGATTGTTTTCATGCAAATGTGTATTGATTTTGCCTTATTTGTGTATTTCCTGCTTATTTTCATGAATGATAAACATCATGTGACAATGAATATCCATTTGCATGCAATCCCAGTAATCTTTCTAAAGAATATATGGAAAATGTTTAAGGATTCTTGATTTATTGTAGTGAATGACCTTAAATTGTGTCATTTGTTTACATGAAGTGTTATTTTTAATTATCTTTATTATATTGTTTGCTGTTTTTTTAATCAGTTATTTTTGCAACAGTCTGTGTTTGTCTAATATGAAGGGAAATTACTGTATTTTATTTGACAAACTGCCTAAATGTCTGCTTGGTCTTACATTATAATAATGCAAGGCTTTTTTTTAATATATATATTTTAATAATGTATAATCTTTATTATTATAATGCAAGGAAATTCAGGAGAAAAAACACACATATGTCCCAGTGAGTTGTGTTGTGTAACATCTCTGTTTTTAGAATATAAGCTATAAACTCTTACATAAAATGTTTATGAAAATGTATGAATGCATGATGTTTTACAAATAAACTTCCATTGTTTTGTAAATAGCTAGGACTAATTTATTCGACTGATGTACATTTTTTTTTTCAATCTGACCCTTTTAGAATGCTTTGATTTACGAATATAAAACTTAACAAGCATTGGCAACAACATCAAATTTGTTACGTACAATTGTTTTTCATGCATTTGAATCATTGTCAAGGAATTCAAACCCATTTTCCACGATAAAGTAAATAATCATAATTTTCATCACCAATAAATATTGTTACAGCTTGCCAATGTTGTTCAGAAAATTGGCAACACCAACAAAGACATTTCAGAGTTACACACAGAAAACTGATGCTATTTTTAAACATTGAATTGTGGAGTAATATTTATGGGCTATTTAGAATGAAATAATTTACTTTGGACTTCACTGTTTTGTAGCAAATCATTTCTACTAAGCTATAGGCCTACAAGTAAAAAGTAAATGGGCATGATATCCCATTAGAACAATAATCAAATTATTACAAGAACATACTAAGCACAAATGCAGACTTGGAACAGTTCAAACTGATAGATAAATAAAGTTTAAAACAGTCTAAGATGGTTTGCTGGTCTTATCTGATCTCCACGGTTTAAGATGTTTTATACTAGAGATGGAAATTCTGCATGAGAAATGGGAACAGGAAATTACCAAAACATCGCCGAGCTACACAAAACACCCTAAACATTACGTAGCCCACTGACCATAAGAAAAATTACTTGCAAGCCATTTTTGTTACAATAACGTTTTCTAGTGAAGAATGGCACCATTATAATATTATTATATATCATTATATTATCCAAATTACATCCATTTTAAAATATTTTATGTTGACTGTCAAGCCTCTCGATGAAAAGTAGCCTGTGTTGGTGCTGATAACCTGTAAACTTAAAAAAAAATGTATGCCACCACCACCAAGAAGAAGAAGAAAAAATCCCAGTTGGGAGAATAAAATATCAATAATGACTTATAAAAGGTAAAACATATTAAAAAAGGCAGTAAACTGAATTCACGAAGGTTGCTCATGAATATGAATTAGATTACGCATGACTCCGTCGATTCAAAGTAATTAATATTCATTAGCTCAGTAGTATGATTCTGTAATTGGCCAGAGCTGAGAATGAGTAATGAATATGCATAGCAGCAAGCTCTCTAGCGCCTCCCCTCCATATTTCTCCATACTTTCCATATTCCTTTCCTCCATTCATCCGCACTGCACACCGTGTACACAGGCATCATGGTGCTCGATTTAGACCTGTTTCGCACCGACAAAGGCGGCGATCCTGAAATCGTGCGGGAAACCCAGAGGAAACGATTCAAGGATGTGTCTCTGGTGGATAAACTGGTCGAGGCGGATACAGAATGGAGGAAATGTGAGTAGCAGCTATCGGCTAACGCTACAGCTAACGAAACACATGGCAGCCTGTGGATGAGAACAGTTTGTGACACGTATACAGATCTGTTAATCAACGTAAAGACTTTAAGAGAGGAAACACACACTGACTGTGCTACACCACATAATAAAGTTAATGTAAAATGCGTGGAAACGTGCAGAACCATGGCAGAACCCGCATTACCGGTTTACTGGAGTAGCATGTAGCATTGACGCTAATACTTAACCCGCCTGTCATAGTGTGATTAACATTGTTTACTTCAGTTAATAAAACTTGTTTTTGTTATTTAGCCGAATATACGTTTATATCAGGTGTTATTTGGGAATGAGAGGTATGAGTATACATTGGTTAAACCTGTCGCAGCATCACCCGGCTGAATCTGATGCAATCTCAATGTCAGGGTGAATACAGAGGAGGAGCAGCTGACTGTCAGTGATGATGTGTGTGCCATACAGGTCTTTCATCAAAGAGTGAAATATTATATCAGTTTGACAATTTAATTCCCTATTCCTTTAAATCCATCTAAAAGTCTATACTATTAATATATTTTAAGCTTGGTGTGGTCACCATAGGTTGCTTTAAAGTCACCATGAAATAAAAATGAACAATTCTTGTTGTCTTTATTGCAGTATTTATTACAAATTATTTATCCATGCACGTTATTGTTTCAAAATTGATTTGCTCTTTCCTAATCTTTAATCAAAATAAATTCCCCTCCCACTTGCAGCGACATCTCTTCTCCGATGATGCGTTTACTGGCGTGAGGGCGGGACAACCTGTCACTCACATATGATCGACCAATAGCAACCCACAACCATCCAAGGATTCAATCAATTCCCAATGAACAAAATCAAGTACATAAAAAAAAAAAAAAAAAATCAACCCTACATTTTCTCTTGTCAAGATGCCGTTTCACTCGCACATATGTTACAGTAGGGAAGAAAATGCTATCAAAACTTCAGTCTCATGTCGCCGACTTAAAGAAATAGTTCACTCAAAGATGAAAATTATCCCGTAATTTACTCGCCTTCCAGCCTATCTAGGTGTACTGTAAATGATTTTCTTCTTTCAGCCAAACACAGGCATTATTAAATAATATCCTGGCTCTTCCCAACTTTGTAATGACATTGAATAGCACCTGATTTATTGAATCTCCAAAAAACGCATCCATCCATCATAAAAATGATCCATATGACTCAAGTGGGTAATAAATGCCTTTTGAAGCGAAGCAATGAGTTTTTGTGTACATGCGTACGGCCGTTGCCAAAAGCCAGTGATGTATTATAATTTATAAAGTTAGAAATATGGATATTTTTCTTACAAAAACAGATTACTTCATAAGTTATATTTAGCCCACTGTAGTCATATGGATTACTTTTATGATGAATGGATGCGCTTTTTGCTTCAAAAACTCAATATTCAATGCCATTACAAATCTGAGAAGAGCCAGGATATTATTTAATAAAAACTCTGATTGTGTTCAGTTAAAAGAAGAAAGTCATACACCTATGATGGGTCGATTGTGAGTTAATAACTCAATATGAGTTAATATATTTTAATTAGCAAAATATGTATTCACCATCATCTTTAATTTATGCTGCATTGACTGTTATTTTTATATTGTTTTTAAATTATTATATTATCTTTAATATTTTGAATTAGCTTTTATATTAACTTTTCTTGTTCTTTTTAAACTTATTTTATTTCAGTTAGTTGTCAAGGCAACATTTTTAATATTCATTTAAGTTTCATCTTGTTGGATTAAATAAAATTACTTTATTGCAATATATTGGATTGTATTCCTTATTGTAGGACTGTGAAAATATGCTGATACAATTTATTGTAATTGTAAAAGTGTGATTTTTTTTTAATTTATTTATTTTTATTTTTTTTAATTAGTTGGTGGCTTGGTGCCGGATTCATAATTCAATTCATTTGTCATTGCTTGTAGCGTAATTTCACATTTACTTTCTTGCTTGAATGCAGTACACATTTCCTTAGTTGTTCAAAGTCGATCCAAAGATATATTTTCTTCTCCCGATGATTTCAAATTTTAGCATAATTTATAAAACAGGAAGATTACTCTTGCCATTATATCAGTGATATGCATTTGTGTTAGAATTATATATATTTTTTATGCCTCCAGGTCGCTTCACAGCGGATAACCTAAACAAGGCCAAGAATCTGTGCAGCAAAGCCATCGGTGAAAAGATGAAGGTACGTAAAGCAGCTGTCATATATTTGTTTTGATCTGTTATCATTGAGTAATAATACTATTCTGCTTGCTGGTCGTATGGCGCTTTTGCAGAAGAAAGAGCCAGTTGGTGACGATGACACTCTTCCAGAAGAGGCTCAGAATCTGGAAGCCCTCGTTGGAGAAACATTATCAGTGAGTCGAGCTATAATGTATAATTCACATACTTATTGTATAATAAGTGAATATACACTACTGTTCAAAAGTTTTAGATCAGTAAGATTTTTTTCATGTTTAAAAAGCAGTCTCTTCTGCTCACCAAGGTTGTATTTATTTGATCCAAAAAACAGTAAAAACTGTAATATTGTGATGTATTTTTTTTTTTTACAATTTAAAAGATCTGTTTTCTATTTGAATATATTTGAAATGCTGAATTTTCAGCATCATAACTCCAGTCTTCAGTGTCACATTATCATTCTAATATGCTGAGTTGCTGTTCAAGAAACATTTATTATTATTCAAGAAATCATTCAGTGTTGAACAGAAAGTTAAAAAGAACAGCATTTATCTGAAATAGAAAGCTTTTGTAACATTACACACTACCGTTCAGAAGTGAGTTTTTTTTTTGTTTTTAAGAAATCAAAGAAAGGAATACTTTTATTCAGCAAAAATGCATTAAATTGATCAAAAGTTACATTAAAGACATTTATAATATTACAAAAGATGTTTAATTTCAAATAAATGCTGTCCTTCTGAACTTTCTGTTCGTCAAAGAATCCTGAAAACAAATTGTGCACAACTGTTCTCAACTTTGACTAAGTACATTAAACAATGATTCACAACCCATCTGTGAGCAATAATTCTGCATTATGTCTCTGGCAGCCCCTCACGGTGACTCAGATTAAGAAGGTGCGGTTACTGGTGGACGAGGCTGTGCAGAAGACAGACAGTGATCGTCTAAAGCTGGAGGCGGAGCGCTTTGAGTTCCTGAGAGAGATCGGAAACCTCCTGCATCCCTCTGTGCCCATCAGCAACGATGAGGTGAGTTTCAAGGTGTACACTTGGCAGGTCCTGCAAACCAAATACATTGCCTGGCCAAAAAAGAAATAAAAATTACACACTCTAATATTTTGCTGGACTGTTTTTTGCTTTAAAGGGTTCGTTCACCCAAAAATCTTCATCTTCGGAACACAAATTAAGATATTTAAGATATTAAGATCGCTCCTGCATACAGTCCGTAGGCTTCTTGAGGGTCTGGCTCTTGCTGTCCCCGAAAAGTCATTAAAGACATCGTTAAAATAGTCCAAGTGACTACAGGGGCTCAATCGAGAACACTTTTGTGCGCAAAAAAAACAACAAAAATAACGACTTTATTTCAACTATTCGTTTATTTCTCCCTCTGCGCGAGTCAGGTTACTAATTTAATAGCGTAAGCTTCTGTTATTGTACGTCACACGCATCACACACACATGACCAGCGTCGGCCAATAGTGAGCCTACGTGTGACGTAGCTCTACGCAATCACACTACGTTAACTGACTACAGGCCCATGGAGAAGGAAGTGAATAGTTGAAATAAAGTCGTTGTTTCTGTTTGTTTTGGCGCACAAAAGTGTTCTCGTCGTTTGATAAACTTAAGATTGAGCCCCTGTAGTCACTTGGACTATTTTAACGATGTCTTTAATGACTTTTCGGGGACAGCAAGAGCCAGTCCCTCAAGAAGCCTACGGACTGTATGCAGGAGCGATCTTAATATGTTAAATATCTTAAATTGTGTTCCGAAGATGAACGAAGGTCTTACGGGGTTGGAACAACATGAGGGTGAGTAAATACTGACAGAATTTTCATTTTTGGGTGAACTAACCCTTTAATTACGGCACGCATTCGTCATGGCGTCGTTTCTATAAACTCATGCAATGAAAAGACATTTATTTCCATCCAAAGTTGCATCAATTTCTCGCCTACATATTGTCGCTTTGCAGCGTTATATCTTCTCCAGCACATCCCAAAGATTCTCAGTGGGGTTTAAGGGGGCATCGGATGCAAAATTCACTTTTATTTGGTGTTTGCATATAAATATGTCTGTGTGTGGACACAACCACCATACAAAAAATGGTGGTATATGTTGTTGCTTAGCCAAGTGTTTCCCAACCCTGTTCCTGGCGGCACACCAACACTGCGCGTATTCTTTGTCTCCCTAATCAAACACACCTGATTCAACTCATCAGCTCATTAACCCACCTGATTATGAGCTGATGAGTTGAATCATTTGTGTTTGATAAGGGAGACAAAGAATACGCGCAGTATTGGTGTGCCGCCAGGAACAGGTTTGGGAAACACTGGCTTAACTTATTCAACTGGAGATTAAGGTAAAATGTTGTTTCTCTTTCTCAGGATGCTGATAATAAGGTGGAACGCACCTGGGGTGACTGCACAGTGCAGAAGAAGTATTCTCACGTGGACCTGGTTGTCATGGTGGATGGATACGAAGGGGAAAAAGGAGCCGTCGTGGCTGGAAGCAGAGGATACTTCCTAAAGGTTTGTTGCCCTTTCACCTAATTTTTTGTGGATTTTCAAACTGTGCAAGGAAGGGAACTGAAGGACAACGGCATTGTTTTTGTGTAAACCACTTCTGAACATTCCAATACTGAGCATGTGGGAACCATTTTGCCTTGTTGCACAATATTTACCCCCGTTCTCATGTCCGTTCTTCAAAAGAAACATGCCAAAAAGCACTTGGCACCCATTTTAAAATGTTTTGTTGTATTATATTTCAGGGACCTTTAGTTTTCTTGGAGCAGGCTTTAATTAACTATGCACTGCGGATCCTGTACAGCAAGAACTACAACCTGCTGTACACACCCTTCTTCATGAGGAAAGAAGTCATGCAGGAGGTCGCTCAGCTCAGCCAGTTTGATGAAGAGCTGTATAAGGTTTGTCCTATATTTTATTTGAACCTTTTGATTTATAAAAATGTATATACTAATGTGTGTATAATATATATACTGTGTATATATATATATATATACACACACACACATACATATACATTAGTTGCATAAAAGTTGACATCATCATGCTAGATCCACTTAATACAACTAATCTACAGAAACAAAGGATTTAATGTAATGTGTTTGTTTAGGTGATCGGGAAGGGGAGCGAGAAGTCCGACGACAGTTCAGTAGACGAAAAGTATTTGATTGCCACATCGGAGCAGCCAATAGCAGCTTTCCTGAGAGATGAATGGCTAAAGCCAGAGGATCTCCCCATCCGCTATGCCGGCTTCTCCACCTGCTTCAGACAGGAAGTGGGCTCTCACGGCAGAGACACGCGCGGGATCTTCAGGGTCCATCAGTTCGAGAAGGTCCGGGCAATTCTATGAACAGTGGAATATTAATTTTAGATGACTATTATTTCTTATAAAACGGTTTGTTCCAATTCTTCATTCTGATTGGTCAATTGCTGTGCTTTATTCATGATAAAACACGGCTATGACCGCTTCACCCAACGGTTCTATTTATCACTGCGCAACACTGCAGTTTCTATGTTTTTTATATTTGAGCTTTCATGCATATTACACATTGGAACGTTGTTGCTGGGCATGGTCAGGGACTATTTTTTTCTAGCGGAAGAAAGGCTTTTAGTAATTTTACTTCATGAAAGTTGCACTAATAATTTTTTTTTTTTACTTTAATATTTTTATTGTGTGGTAACCGTTTTATAAAAGCAATAAGGTACTCGAGGCAAGTGCTGTATTGTAAATAAGTTAACGGCTGAAGGGCGTTGTTGGGCACGACACGAAGCTGCCTCACGTACCTTATTGCTTGCATGATAAGGAATAGACCTCTATCAAATTTAGCAGTAAGTAAAGTTCTTGAAGAAAATTCTGGTATTATTTAGAAGAACAACCTCTGAATACAAACTCTTTCCAATGCTTTCCAGATCGAGCAGTTTGTGTACGCCTCTCCTCATGACGGCAAGTCCTGGGAGATGTTTGATGAGATGATTGGAACAGCTGAAGAATTTTATAAGTCGTTAGGAATCCCCTACCGCATCGTCAACATTGTGTCGGGTTAGTTCACATTGTCCAGTTTTTCCATTGAAAGTACCAATGGAACTAATAAGCCGCCATTTGTTGGAAGGTTTTTATCAGCTTCCTGTAAAAAAAGCTTCAAATGAATTGTTTGCTTTTGTTTGACAGGTGCTCTAAACCACGCTGCTAGTAAAAAGCTGGATTTAGAGGCTTGGTTCCCAGGGTCCCAGGCTTTTAGAGAGCTTGTGTCATGCTCAAACTGCACAGATTACCAGGCTCGCCGCTTGCGTATTCGCTACGGTCAGACTAAGAAAATGATGGACAAGGTACAGTTCTACAGTTCTCAAGAATGATGTTGGGTTATCTGTTTTTACCATTTGAGGTTGGTTTGATTGACTGTTGTGATTGTCTGTTTTCTTAAAGGCTGAGTTTGTGCACATGCTAAATGCCACCATGTGCGCGACTACTCGCGTTATATGTGCTATCCTGGAGAACTACCAGACAGAGGAAGGTGTTATTGTTCCAGAACCTCTCAAGGCATTCATGCCTCCAGGTGAGCACCGCTGAGTATGGATCTGTTTACCTGGATAAGTTAGAAAAGTTTGCCTCAATCTTTTTCTACATGCATGGAAAAGACTTGTTTGGGATGCCATGACCTAGTCGTTAAAGGATAGGGTGGAAATCATATGGAATTTAACGATTCTGCATCTGATACTGATTCTTTTGGGAATCATCAAAAACAATGATGACACTATTTTTAATTCACTATAAAGAATCAATTCACTACAAGGAACAAAGTAATTTAATCAGATAATCCTGGTTGCATTGTATGTTTTTACATTTCCAAAAAATAACAGATTCATAAGTAGGGGTGCAATGGATCATTGTTGAGCCGTGATCCGTACGGACCAGGACCCATGGTTCGACACTAGGGATGCACCGATATGAAAATTTTGGCCGATACTGATAATTCTTTATATTTGAAAGCAGATAACCGATATATCGGCTGATAAATTTAAATCCAAGTTTTTATCAATTTTGAGAGCTTGATTACAAAAACAAAAGTCTCACAATTAAATCCATGTCCCAAGCGCACGATTATAATGATGTTCTCATTATAGTGTTGTATAGCCGATATGACAGATTTGCGCTGCACATGTTGTACTGAACCGTATTTTTATTTTTTGAAGAGATTTCAATCATATTTCAAGAAATTCAAAAACATAAACAGTGCTCAACAAGTGTCTCAGCTGAAGGGAATAATACATTAATTAGCGGCTTTAATATATCGGCCACATTTTCTTACCAGGCCGATAACGATAACATTAAACATGAACATATATCGGCCGATATATCGTGCATCCCTATTCGACACGCATGTGATTCACAGATTAATTGCCTAGTATAGAGTGAAAGTGTATAATTTGCACTTGTTTATTCTTGACAATTTACACATTCAAGCTATTTTAAACCATTCAAGCGCTAGAAGAGGCGAAAGAGTCTATTGCACGCTGTTTTCTGTTTTTCAACCAAAAGAACTGGATATGTGAGCTATAAGTGGACCTTTTAGATAGCTGTTTAATGTGTGTAGGTTACGTTTCCTCTGATTAGTCGCCAATTGTGTCTCCAATCAATCTCAATATTATGGTTTCTTTACTCAGGTTTAACAGAAATGATCAAGTTTGTGAAGCAAGCCCCTATTGAACTGGAGGCAACCAAGAAGCAGAAGAAACAGCAGGAAGGAGGGAAGAAGAAGAAACAGGGTGGTGACGCTGATATAGAGAACAAAGTGGAGAACATGTCAGTCAATGACTCTTAGATGCAATCCCAGCCAATCATAATGGTTCATAAGACATCCATTTTTCTGTACCGCATTCACAAACATTATCCACTGAAGCTGTCACATGGTTTCATCCCTGCCTCACTTTACTTTCTCTGGGACAGTCCTACTGTGGCGCTGTCTGTCTAACGGTGATGATGGTGTCATGTTTAACAATCATATTTTAAATTATTCTCAAATCAATTTCCTACAAAAGGGGTCTTTGAAATCTTTAATTAAATGCATGATGTTGTGACAGACATTTAGCCATTAGATGGAAATGCCTTGATGGCACTGTAATTACCTGAGGCATTGTATTATAAGTCTGCTGTTGAATTAAAGGGAAAATGCATGGTCGTTACAGTTAGTACTGGGATTATTCTGCATCAGTGCCACTTTGGAAAAAGTGCTTTAATGAAAATCGGTTCTGGAAAATGGACAGACCTCTTTCAATATCCTGTTTTATAATTAATATTTGCTCAATAATTATAGTTATGGAAATTGATTACTGTGCACTTACTGTTCACATCGTCACAAAAGTTAAAGTGAGCAGCGAGCAGCTTTCTGTCATTTATGTCTGTCTCTTGCTTCATAGAAACATTTCTTGTGATTTGTCTGTTAAACAGGGAATGTTATTATATGTACAGTACTTGCTTAAGATGCCTTGTGTGAGGAGTATGATGGCATTTGAGGATAAATCAATACCTGAAAGTAAACATTGATTCGTGTTATGTTTTTTTCTGAATGCATACATATTATTATCTCATGTCACACTTTTATCTGAAGCAACTTTCAATTAGAAAAACTGAGCAATTTATTGTGCAGGAATCATCAATTTAACTTACAATTTAACTCGGAGTACAAGTAGCCAACTTTAATGTTATGTGGGTGATCTTAAAAAAAAAAAAGCTTTCATATTTAATATGACTTTTTTAAAGCAGTTTACATTATAATAAATGCATTTTAACTTATATAGAGTTGTGAAAAAGGACTACGCGTAGTGGCTATCCTATCAAATGTATGATTTAGCCAAACACATTATGGATTATGATCATGGAGTTCATTGTGTTTTTTTTTTTTGCCCAAATTATTTTATGTTAATGCAGATATTGTTTATGAAGGGTTTTTGGAAAATCTTACCCACTTAAATGGTCACTGTAAACAGTTGGAGGTAAAAAAAAAAAAACAGTATACTATTTTAAAACTTTTTTTAACCTCATGCAAGAAACCACTCCATCCTGGACTTTTGGAAGATTCAACTGGAGCACAGTTTTATTCATTTAACTCAATGTTTAATGGATAACTGTAGGTTTCTTGTTTTCACAATTTATGTTTTTTGTTTAGAACACTTGTGAAATAAGTACACTAGCGTATCAAACCCCGCTAATGTTTTTAATAAGTAAATAAGGACTGAGTGAGTCTGATGGACTGCAACTCCCAGAAGCCCTCTCTCCAGTCGCCGATATATCCTGAGATTCCATTGGCTCATTGCAAAGCCATTGTCCAATAGTGTTTCAGAATACTGCCGTACAAACTGCCACTTCAAAAACGGTAAGATGTGAATCTGTCAAACATTTCGTCGTATTTACTAAGAAAATAGTGTTAATTTCAGTTAGAGAATAAAATCGTTTATCTTTTATTAAAGGTCCATTAACGAAGCTGTACATAAAGCGATGGGATCCGGAGAAAGCACGTCAAGGAGAGTTTCTTTCGGCCTAGATGAGGATGACAGGGTGAGGATTCTTCGTGGAGTGAAGGTAATCCAACATCAGATATTTATTACCTTTTGTACGGGTTATGTACGATTATGGTTGGTATTGTGGGACTTTATAGCGCGAATTTGCAACAGGGTTAACCGAACGTCCTTCAATGGACGGGACACGTTTAGGAAAATGGCCACAATGTTGCTTCGGATGTCAGTCATTATTTCACAAATAACGTTAGATAAATTCAGTGAATCTGCAGTCCACATTATGATTGTCAGCTCTGGCTAATGACAACCGAGTCTGAAACTGGGAAACTATTCCCTGCTTGTGTTGTGAAGTTGTGTTGGACTAATATCTTACTGACCTAGTGTGTCCTCAGGTGTGCAGAAGAGTAATTGAAACTAAGGTCAGGTGTATGTATGGTTACGTTACTGTCTGGACGTTAAGCGCGGTTAATCTTTTAATACTCTTACAATAGAATTGACCACATAATTGCTTGCTCTAGAAAGTGTCATTCTTCCAAGGGCCTGAAATCTTTTGAGTTCGATCTATATAATTTGGTCTATATAGACCTTTAATATTTCATATAGCCTATGATATGAGTGGTTGCATGATTAGGGCGGTAAGTTAGGTGAAAACAAGTTAGGAGAGTTATTATTATTGTGTATTAATGTTTGTGTTTAAAAATCTGCAAGAATACCCAATAATTAATGATTAAGCTTTATAAGTGACAAATTACAAACCTAGATCCATGTTTTCCCCCTTCCAGTTTGTCAACTGCTGTGCACAAAAAAAAAACAAAAAAAAAACAGAACGATAATAGCCTAAATTCTTAGTTCTCAATGACACCAATGCTTCATTTTACTTGTGTGTTCATCAGTCATTTGTATACATTTATGTTCTTAGCTGTCTGAAGACGTCCTACAGCGCATGAGGAATGTCAGTGCTGATCCAAGACCACCTGTCAATAATAAAGAGAACCTAGGTATGACATAATAGTTTCCATGTTCATAAACTTTGGCAGTTTATATGCCTGTGTGCTTATGAGATGCAATAAGTGAGATAATAAATTTGTAGTGCATGTCAGCGATTAATTATTTTAGTTTTTTTATAACTTTGCAGGTCAGCAGGCTCGAACGTCCAGCACATCTGACCCAGAACCTCCAAAAACACAGACCAAGACGACTTTTCCTGATACTAAAGAGGAGCTCAGGAAGAAGTAATTAAGTTGTTTTTTTTTCCAAATTGTGGTCCAGGGACCAAAAAGAGAGTGCTAGGGTGTCCTTTGAAAAGTTTAGAGAAAAACTTAATTAATTAAATAAAAAGATTTAAATAAATACCAATTATATTAAAATAATTAAATACATAATAATAAAATAAATAAAGTAAAAAAAAAAAGAAATGTATAAAAAACACCAATACATCTCATTGTATAATTTTGTAGGGTAGAAAAAACAAGTTTAATATGTTAACTTAAAGGTTTAGTTGAAAAAATGAAAATGAAGTCATTAATTACTCACCCCCATGCTGTACCAACCCTGTAAGACCTTTGTTCGTCTTCGGAACACAAATGAAGATATTTTTGATTAAATTTGAGAGGTGGATCACTGCTACATAGGCTCCTAAAAGGATTGAAACTTGACGGCCCAGAAAGTCATTGAAGAAAATGTTTAAATATTCCATGTGCCTACAGTGGCTCAACTATAAGTTTATCAAGCGACGAGACTACTTTTTGTGCGGAAATAAAAATTATAAATAAATCTATATACAGTTTATACATGAAAATATTTCTTAAATATATACAAGCATGTGTGTGTATTCATATATATAAAATAATTGTACACAGTGCGCCCACATATATTATAATAAATACAAATTTTTATTTTGGATGCAATTAATCGTGATTAATCATTTGACAGCCCTTATTTTATTTACTTGGTGGCTTTTTTATCATTCAAATTTGGCTGGGTGGCTAATAACACATTTTTCTGTGGTGTGACAAACTCAGAACACATTTAATTTGGACTTTTCAGGGATTTTAAAACTTAACAAAACTAAATATTTTCCAAATAACATTTTAAAATTGTATCAATTTAAGTGAGTCTCTTTGTACATGAAAATATATTTCCTAGCTTTTTAATTTTATGAAAATCATATTTGGTTGTCTGTCTGGCATGAAAAAGTGTGGCATCAATCAAGTTGTCATAGATCAATCATAGTTGAAACGAGCACAAGAACAAAGAGCAAAACACTGTGGTAGGTTTAAGAACAGCAGTGAGTGAATCATGGCTTGGCAACAGGCATATAAACAAATCTGTGTGTGCTTGCACAGGTATGAGCAGCAGCAGGCCATTATACAGGAGGAGTTGGCCCGGATCGCACGCAAAGAGAGAGAGGCAGCGCGGCAGGACATTACTCGAGCGGTGCAGAGAGAGCGAGTACAGACGCGGCAGGAGTCTGAGAAAGCCAAACAGCTGGTGAGACTCTTCTACAAACACTTCAGCACAATACTTCAGGACAGAAGTAAAACTGTGCATGCAAACACACTCTGACTCCACTGCACCCAGAGACAGGCAATGGAAATACGTGCATATGCATTGATTTCAGTATACTTTTTATCTATTCACTAAGATTTCTAAAGACTGATATCAGTTTAGTTTTCACAATCCTTACTTGACTGGATGTTTTAGCAACAGCTTTAGATTTTCTATGTTTGATTAGTTGCATCAGTTTAAATGGTTCGTTTGAATGAATCATCAAAACTCTGATTTAACTATTTGTTTATCATCACTCAAGTATTGTGGTATAATATGTTTAAAAGAAAAAAAAATAGCATTTAATAACACTAATTTTAAAACACAAGCTAAATTCTGATTGGATAACCCTCATTTGAAACCAAATGAATGACTAAAAAAGGACATCTGAGATTGCAAAAGCCATTTTGATTTTAAATAAATATATCTATATTAATAAATATAATAAAACTCTGAATTTATTTAATTGCTGTTGCAGCTGTTTTTATAAATGCCAAAAGCACAATCTCTGTCATTTTAACGTCACTTTAACATTTAGCTTTTTTGGCTGATTGTTTTCTTAGCTTCATCAAACATTTATCTGCGTTCAAATTGCCAGACTAGTTCAGGCAGCAAATAAATATAGTTTTAAAAAATGGGGAAATTAATTACTTGTATTCTTATCTCCCTTCATTTTCCAGTTTGAAAGTTTTTCTTTTAAGTCCTGCAGGCGAGAAATGTTAACCTGGTCAAGTCCCGGTCTGAGAAACACACAGCTGCTCTCTTGACACGGGTGAAATTGGCTTCTTTGAATTCCACTCAGTTTTTTTTTCCCTTTGTCCCGTCTTCCACTTATTCTCTTCCACTTATTCAGGTCCTTTAGGGATCGTGTCCCTCATTCTTAGGCCCCTGGAGGGGCCACCTTATCAAAGAGTTACGCATCACACGTGTCGTGTTCTAGCAGACGTTGGACTGAAAAACTGTGTGTGTGTGTGATGTTATACATGTCAGCCCATACCCGAGGATCCTGTGGTACGTGTCTTGTTGGTGTGTCTTATCTGAGCTCTGACATGTTCTGGACACTTAATAGAAAAGCTTCCCCTGGGCTCAAGCTTTGAAGAGTAGACGTGTGTGTGTGTGTGGATGTAGGTTTTGAAGGTAATTATAGCTCAATCCCCCTATTCATCCCTGAGCATCTCTCTCTCTCTGAACCTCAGTGTCTTATTAGCAGATGTGTGAAGATGCCCGGATGTCACCCCAAGTTCCCTCAGCTGAGATTTTGATGTTTGTGTGGAGTTCAGTATGGATCTGTTTTTTTTTATTCTAAACGGGTTTTGCTTCATGACACTGCTGTTTGTTTTATTATTATCTACAGTGATGGTCAGAATTTTTTGCCTCCTTGGTAAATATGATCAAAGATGGCTGTACAAAAGAAATCTGCATTGTTTATCCTTTTGATATTTTATTTTTTAAAAATGCAAAAATCTAACCTTTTAA